ATTCTTCTGCTGGTTGCCGGTTATGTAGCTACATGTTTAAAAATAATGACAAAGGCGGTTTTGGCGGCACTTCCGCGTACGTCATCATCGACGAAGTCGGAAACAGCTGAAAACAATCATTTTAACATGACTCACAATTAATAAGCTATGATTATTATTATTGCTGTTGTTTTTATTACTTGTTATTATTTTATTGCTGTTGTTGTTAATAAATAATAATAATAATATATATATATATATATATATATATATATATATATATATATATATATATATATATATATATATATATATATATTTATATATATGTACATATATGTATATATATATATATATATATATATATATGTATATATATATGTACATATATGTATATATATACATATATGTACATATATATATACATATATATATATATATACATATATATATATATATATATATATATATATATATATATATATATATATATATATATATATATATATATATATATATATATATATATATATATATATATATATATATATATATATATATATATATATATATATATATATATTAGTGCTGTCAAAATTATCGCGTTATTAACGCGTTAACGCGAGGCCATTTTAACGGCGATAATTTTTTTAACGTGAGATTAACGCTATGTGGTTTTATGGTACAATTTTTCCAAGTACATCCCGCTGCAGCCTGCGGGAAGGCGGGGCTATTTTCCCCCAGTCTATGCATTTCTCATAGGCTTCTAGAGCGGAGCTCCTCAAGGGAAAAAGACGCTCATACACTGGGTGACGCTAGTGCCTTTTCTTTAAGCCCCACCACCAACAAACAAGTTGAGTGTCTGGTAACTAGTAGCAACCTGAAATACGCTGAGAAAACTGAATCTCGTAGCAGCCCTCTTGCCGTCTGTGTACGCAACAGGTCAGTATCGCGTGTGTGTGTGTGTGGGTGGGTGTGTCTGTGTGTGGGTGAGTGGGTGTGTGTGTGTTCTCATTTTTGTTAAGAGGCTGAAAAGTAACTTTCTAGAGCATAGACTACCTTCATCTAGTAATGTCGGTCTATTGATTTTGATGTATTGATTGAAAATTGTTCATTATTACCTTGGTTAATTAACATCTAATGTTAACTCTACTGCATTTTATAGCGGTAGGGTAAAATGCTTGTCTTTGTTCAAAAGACTGTATTAACTGTAAAGACTGTCTTTTACATCAGCCTGTTTTCAGGGCCTTTTTTTTGCCTACATATTTGTTATTTTTTGCTACATGCCTCCCCATCTTCTTGCCATATGTTTCTATGGCATAAATCAGTATCTGTGACCTGTTTTCATTTTAAAAAAAGAACATTGGCACAAACCTAGCCTGTATGTATTTTTTTGTATGTCATCGAGAGTATTTAAATGATTTTCAATCAGGAAAAAAATGTGCGATTAAAATGCGATTAATCGCGAGTTAACTCAGGCATTGATGCGATTAATCGCGATTAAAAAATTTAATCGATTGACAGCACTAATATATATATATATATAAGATCCAGACTGACAAACAGGTGATGGCTAACCAACCAGACATCGTGTTGATGGACAAGCAGCAGAAGAAGGCAGTAGTGATAGATGTGGCAATCCCAAGCGACAGCAACATCAAGAAGAAAGAACACGAGAAGCTTGAGAAATACCAAGGACTGAAGGAGGAGCTAGAAAAGATGTGGAAAGTGAGAGCAGCAGTGGTGCCAGTGGTAATTGGAGCACTGGGGGCTGTGACCCCCAAACTGGGAGAGTGGCTACAGCAGATTCCAGGTAAAACATCAGAGGTCTCTGTCCAAAAGAGCGCAGTCCTAGGAACAGCTAAGATACTGCGCAGAACCCTCAAACTCCCAGGCCTCTGGTAGAGGACCCGAACTTGAGGATGACACATACCACCCCATGAGGGGTGAGAAAACAGTTATATATATATATATATATATATATATATATATATATATATATATATATATATATATATATATATATATATATATATATATATATATATATATATATATATATATCGACATGTAAATACATGTATATAGATATATGTATATCTACATGGATGGTTATTAAGTCATATCAGTTTATTATGACTTCACCACATTTTTTATAGTTTTGACATGATTGTTTCCCTCAAAGTATTGTTATAAAAATAGAAATATAAAATATAACATAAAATATAGAAGCAAAATACTATAAGTTGCATTTTATAAATATAAAATACAACTTATTGAATACAATACAAGAGCTAAAGCCGTTATACAGTTATACTATGTCATTAGACCAGCCTTAAACCTTTTAATCCTGATTTAAACTCTCAAAGAATCACCAAAAGGACTTGCGTCTGATATGAACTGATCAAAGACCTCCACCACCAATTCTACACAATAACAGGGTAAGGTTTTTGTGTTTAAAAAAAGTTTATGGCCTGAAATAAAAGCTGATATATCTCCTGATATGAGTGGACTTCATGAACCTTAGACTTCACTGTCATTGATGTGACTGCAGTGCAAGAAATGTGTAGACAGTACACAGGCAAACAGAAAAAAGGTCTTTATTGGTGTGAATATACAATATTTTATATTGACTGCCTCTCTGAACAGCTACACCAACAGCAATCACATTAGCCAAATAAGAAACAGAAATTTTAAAAAGTGATTTTGAAAATGATTTTAATTCCAGTCAAATTAAAATAAAAATTGAAATAAAAACAAAAAGAAAAAGAAACTTCAAAGTTTCACAAAAATCCACATAAAGGCCCTTTATTTAATTTTAAATTTAAAAAGAAAGCAGGGAGTGGTCAAGCGAAATTGGTACAAAAAAGGAGCTCTTGAGTAAAGAAAATGGAAGTTAATAATCACATCTAGTGTAACCAGGGCCGGATCTAGGAAATTGGGGGCCCTAGGCAAAGACAGGCAGGGCCCCCCCTTGGATTTTGAAGACAACACATAGAAAAGAGCCCATTTTCTTGTCGTTTTCCTCTCAATGCTTTTTTTCCTTGTTTCCCCCTTTTCTTTTCCCTTTTTCTTGTTGTTCCCCTCTCAATGCTTTTTGTCCCCTTTTCTAGTAGTTGTATTCTCTTTCTCACTAAAGTCTATTTTTTCAAGCCTTGGCTTCAGCAAATCTTGCAGTGAGATGATCCATATCCACTTACTTCTTGCTCAATGGAGAGATTAGCGAGTGTAGACAGCCTTTCCCATGACAATGTTGACCTCAGATATGTTTAAACTCTGATTTTGATTTGAGGTTGCTGGCCAGCATTAAAGTGCTGGATTGCGCACACTCTGTTCACATCAGGGCTATGCACATTTGCATCCGGAAATAACTCCAGAATGGCAAACATGTCTGCATGGGAAAAGTGTATCAACCAGATTAAAATCAGTAGATAGTGGGAAAGGAATTCACCGTATTTTTATGTTTAATATCTTATTACACGCAATGGCGTATCTATCAGTACGCAGAGACTGCAGTTGCTTAGAGGCCCACGACCTCTTAGGGGCCCTGTCACTGATATCTGATTGGCACCCTATGCAAATGTGGACTAGGACATCTCTTTGCAGATGTAATTGTGTACAAAATTCATGTTAAACCCACCTGGTAATTACCTGATTGACCGGACCTTATTTATACCCCAACACATGCCAGATTTCAACAGGATGGTGAGCCGTTTTAACACGACACCAACAGCAAAGCAGACAGTGGTACTTTTAATTACTATGTTAATAACTGTTCATAGTTCATTAGATGGTTGGTAAAAAATACACTCATATATGTTTCAAACCACAATAAAGATCTTAAAAGAACGATGCATTTGAGTATTTTATTTTTTACACTACAATTTGGAATTATGGGTAATCCAGAGCGTTGATTAAAACCATAACCGTTACGTACAGTGTGTTTAGTGGGGTATCTCGAATAGGTACAGATATCTCGAAGAGGTATTTTGACTAGTCAAAATATAATTAGAAATATCCTAAATTGCTAAAACGTCTAGTCATAAAACAATTTGAGATATCTTAAAAGTTAAGGCGGTATAACCGAATTTATGTTAAAACGGCTTGCCATAACGGTTATTATTGTGGTTACGCCATTGATTGCGTGAGTATTTTCTCTTTACTAATTTAAGTCATAGCAATAGTATAATTTAAAAATGTTTTAAAGCTACAGTGTGTAATAATTACAGGGATATACAGTCAGAAATGTAATATATTATACATAACTATCTTATTTTATCATCATCTACGAGCTCAGCCTCTTAACCTTAATATTTGTGTTGCCTTAGAATTCGTTGTTTATAATTACATAGGGGCGGGTCTCGCAGCCATGGAGGCAGACATCTTTGCACTACGGCAGCGCAGAGCCAACAAACTAGTGATTGCGAGATCGCCAAAATGTCACAACGATGTAGAAAAAATAATGGGTATATTTATTATCTTAAGTCTACATGAAATCTATACCCTACACAGACTAATGAAATACTATCTGTAAAATTATCTATGTAAACAAACCTCATCACTTGAGAAGTTAGGTGATGCAGACGTAGTGGAAGACATTTTGTCCCGTAACGCTCGCCGTACTGTTGGGGGGGAGAAGGGGAGGGGGGGGGGGGATGTTCATGTTGCTGCAGTCTGCAGTCTGACCGCTAGATGTCGCTAAAAGTTACACACTGTAGCTTTAACCAAAACATTTGAAAAACGATCCTGAATTGTAGAACACTTTGTGCAGTTGATATGATAACACCATTACTTCTATATTTGCATTGGTTAAAGCAAATTTGACCACATACTGCGCAATTCATTTTTGCTTCGTTTAATAACGCCCATATATTACATGGGGCAAGTTTAACAGGTTTTATGAAGTCGACCTACGTGTTAAATGCTTTTATTTTCTTAAGCGGCTGTACAACTTCCGGTCTGACTGTAACGTTCGTTACCTTGACAATTTGACAGGTACACAGTAAAGCGTGGTTGCAGCTCCTCCCCCAACAGAGCTAGTCAGAGCTTCGCTACTGCTAACTGAACTGCGGACCAGCAGAGAGGCTGTTCTTGGCTTCTTTCTAGTAGGTGGAAGTTTGTAGTGCTCCGCTAACACGGAGGCCTTTCGCTGAACATATTAGCGACCACTGCTACTATAGCTAAGATAAACTGCTCCCGTCTGAGAGTCATTTGAAGTTACTGTTAGCTAGTTGCGTCGTTTGCCAGCTAACTAAGTTAGCTAGGCTTATTGGTTTTCGACATCAGTTTCAAAACAAAACCCGCAGAACCGAGAAACGGAGACCCAGCTGTCACGTTCAGACTAACTTTTTATGAGAAAGTCTAATGGTTTCATATTGCAAAAGAAAAGTTTCAATATCAAGCTCCATTTTTACATGTTTTGCATGTGCAGGTAATGAGTTATCATTGTTTCGCTGACGTTTAGGCTCATAATTTCAATAAGTATCTGCGGGTTTGGCCGTGACGCCGTGAAACAGATAAGCTAATCAAGCCGTTAACCTTGAGCTGTCGAGAAAATCAGAGTCAGGCTTTCTGGAGACTTGGAAAAATCAATGTCCGAGAAGAGTTCATCGTCCGGTTCAGATGAGGATGTGGACCCGGAATCCGGACAGCCTGTGGAGTTTGGAGGAGTTTTAAGCAAAGTAAGTTCTGCGAAATTAAGAATCCGTGTGTTTTAATTACCCCCATAATATCATTAAGGGTGTGTAAACATTACTAAGAAGGGTGTTGTGAATTAAATATTTATTGATCTGGAAGTTACAATGGACTGAATCAACATTAGTATTTCAGTACATGTAAGTGTGTTAAAACAAGGCTCCTAGGATACTAATGATATAAAATAAATGTTCAATAAAGGTATCCTATTTCTTAATTCTCTGAGTTTATTATGGGTCTCTATTGTTTTCCTGTGGGGGATATAATTACTCTGATTTAAGCTTTTAATTTGAAAGGTTTTACTTTTCTTTAAAACCTTTTTAATTGATGGATGAGTCAGATCAGCTACAACATCTGGATCTGTGTGAGACGCTCAGACACATTTATCCACCCTGATAAGCAATCATGTTACATAACAATAAAGGTGACAGTCCATCTTCATTCTGTTGCTTACATGATATGGTCTGCTAACATAGAAGAAGTAACATGAAGTTAACAAGTTCAGGAAAGTAATTGCTATATAAATATCACCCTGAGGTGCACAAATGTTGCTATCACTTCAGGAAATGTTTGAATTTTAAAAATCATTTCCCATAACTCTTAGTTTCCTTTGCATTTCCTGAAAACTTAACTTTGATTAGTCATTTGTGAAGTCTATTGATTGGATTGCGGACTTAGATGACTGAATGCTGTTTGTTCTATGTGCTTTCAGTGGACGAATTATATACACGGCTGGCAGGACCGATGGGTTGTGCTGAAAAACAATACTCTAAGTTACTACAAGTCGGAGGATGAACGGGAGTATGGCTGCAGAGGTTCCCTGTGCCTTAGTAAGGCTGTTATCACAGTAAGTACCGACCCCAGAAGAAGGAAATATGTTTAGTCTTTAACATCACACAGACAGTGTGGTTTTTGCACCTACATTATGCAGTGTGTCTTTCACCACTCTCTAGAAAAAGAGATCTAACATCTTAGAGGTGGTTAGAATAATCCAGTTAATTAAGTTGTAGTATTCGTTTATTCAGACGGAACATAATGGTAATATTTTCTACATTATGACGGGCTACAGAAAATATTCTCTCAGCTTATACTTTGAAACTATAATTGGAAACTGAACCCTGTTTTTGAGGGTATATTTGTAGTTATCAGGTATAAAGTGATTGGAACCTAAATGGCAATGGCAGGCTCACTCATAGCTTGATAGTTAGGGGGGAGATTTCCTTCTTCAGTGCTTGTGGTTTTGTTTCTGTTGTATCTGACAGTCGGATTTCATTTATTCATTTGATTAGTGGCTGTCATTTAAGTTAGACTTCTAAAATGAACCATTATGCATCACATTGGCATACAGATTGTTTAAATAAGCAAATTCTAAGGCTTTGTTCTAACCCTTCCATATCATTGTTTTTCCTGCTTGTCCTTGCACAGTAAAAGGTCAGCTGTTGCCTAATTCTAGCTGTCATTGGGTGAGAGGCAGTGTACACCCTGTCCATCCTAGTGTTTTCAGATTCTTTTTTGTATTTATATATATTTTTTTACCTTTTTGTATACTTTAAACTAATGTTTTTCCCTGTTAAATGTTAACTCTGACCGCCCAGCGAAGTCACTGGCATCACATTTTTTCTGTGCGAGTGAGATATGCTGAAATTCCAAACTCTGGTTAAATATTCACTCCTGTTTGAGCCTCCAAACAAATGATGTTACTGAACTTTTTTTTTTTTGCTATAGGTTGATTTGATTAGGACATGTAATAATTAGTTTCTTAGTTTTACTAGATATTAGCCAGTTCAGTGTTGTGACAGAGAGATATGAGGACTAAAGTATAAAGAAAAACAAGCTTTTTAAATAATCTGCTGTTTCTATTTATATTGGAATGACCAAACAGTGCAGGCAAAGCAGCTGGGATTATATTTTACCCTGTGAAGTCAGATAGCTTGTCTGTCGGCTGGGATTTCTTGGAAAAGTTGCATTTTGGTGTTTTAATTCCCATACTTCCAAAGCCGTGTAAGTCTTTTTACTTTATTCTGTTTTAGAAGATAACTAAAGTCAATCATTAATATTTGAATTCAAGAAAAATGTATTGCCTGTTAATATAATGGAAACCTTTTCATTTTCTTATTGGGTTTCAGTACAAAAGTTTTATCTGAGGACAGTTTATTTTTATTTTGTTAAGCTATAAAAATATATGTTTTTCATTTTAAAATACATAAATCATAATTAGATTTTATTTATGTAACACTACTGGTGTGTTTTTGTAGTTTTTATACCTCCTATACTCAAATCCTTTATTTTTTGATGTGGAATAAATATGAAATTCCTTAAAAATCTAAAAGAAGAGATATTTTCTTCCAGTATTATTTAATTAAAAGGGAAAATATTGGAAAAATGAGTCATTGTTGGCAGCTGAAGTGAACAGAATCTACTCCAGCTCTGGTTTATAACCTCCTGTGTGCTTACACAGGGTTCCTCTGTCCTGGACGCAGCCCTTTTGTGCAGGAGTGCTTATGCAATGTGAAAAAGAAATGAACAAACCATAAAGATGAGTGTAAAGCAGTGCTTTATGATCCGTGTCTGATACTGCACAGTGTGATAAATGGCAACTTCTCTTTCTCTCTAACCAGTTAACAGTCACGGCTTGATGCACCTATCGTCACTGCAGGTTATCTTCAGGCTCTCGTCAGAAACGGGGAAGCATTTCTCTTATAAAATCCAGTCTGCCAGATGAAGTCTTTAGTATTATAAAGCCCTGAAATATCGTAGGGAACCTTTCACCTAATTGGCAGTTGCAAAGTCCAACTTGTGAAATGTGCTATCTTATTTGGGTGTCTCCAAAAAAGTTGCATAAAGTAGCACAGGCTCAGACTTGGTTGTCAGGATCTGGAGGGATGTGACTGTTGTCTGCAGCAGCAAATAAGGCAGCACATGAGCGTCATTCAGCAAATTAAATGAAACTTAGCTGCCGTAAGGTTGTGTCAGCTGACTGAGCAGCTGTATTCTTTTGGGTCCTGGAGGAAAATAAACTGACAAGAAATCCTGTATATTCTGCATGTTGGTACTTCCTGTGAACCTCTGTAGAGCCGAACTCGTCACAACTGAGCGCAGTGGTCAAATTCCAGTCTGGGGAGAAACGGGCAAATTCTTTGTTGCATGTGTTTGGATGCCTAAGGCAGTCAGTGAGGGGAGCAGGGTGGGGGAGCTTAATAAGTTGAAGGATTCCTCCCTAAAGGAGAAGGCAAAAAGTTAAAACGACCCGAACTTCTCCCTTTTAATAATTAATTTTTTTCTCTTTGCTCAGCCCTGCTGCAGTCGTTTAGGACTAGGCCCGCACTGCAGACACAAGACATCAGTTCTCAATTAAAATCTCTGTTTATCATGTGGGACGTATGGCTTTCTGTCCCTGATTGAGTCCATGTGTTTCAAGAATGTGTCATTCCCAGTCAGTTAGTCTTACAAAGGGCTGTTGGTGTTGTGTTTTGCTGCTAAGTCAGTAATTTAATGGAGGTAAAGAAAACTTTATGTTGAGTTTTGTTAATATGCTTTTAGATAGTCCTTCCATAGTCCAAGCTCACGTCGTTGTTATTCATGAGGTCTCTCCTCTCTTTGCGCAGCCTCACGAGTTTGACGAGTGCCGTTTTGACATCAGTGTGAATGACAGCGTTTGGTACCTCCGAGCAGAGGATCCCGAGCACAGACTGCATTGGATCGAGTCCATAGAGCTGCATAAGGTGAGTAGTTCAGCCTCTATTCTACCTAAGCTTGCCATCTGGATCTATTTTTCTTTCTGATCAAACTTTATGCCCTTGTTAGAGATTCAGACTTCAAATGAATTATCTCTCTCTTATTCGAGGTCTTTAGAGTTCAATGAATTGCAGACCTCAAGTTTGTGTGACCCATAGAATGAAAAGCAGTTTTTTTTTACAATAATCTTTGTTTGCTATCAGATATTTGCTCCTCTGCATTATCCACATACCTTTTGGCTTTCAGGTTGAATTAAGGGTTAGATTTTCTTTCTCCTTTCACAGCAGACATGGAGCTCTATGTTTTCTGTTCTGTAAGCTGGGTGTGACCCCTGATAGATTTGAACACACATAGTTTGGTACTCTGGGAATGTGAAGAATCTTAGCGAGGTGATGAGGGGTGGGGGTTCCCTCTCTAATACCAACCTGCTACTCCTTCTAGAAACATGTTAACTGATTTTCAACTTCTTAGCACAAGCATGTAGGCCAGATTGAATGTGCTCTGTTTCTGTGTCAAAGTATGCGTTTAGTTTGAGTGTTTACAGTGCGGATGCCTCTTCTGTGAAGAAAACCCCCATCTCCACAGCTCACTTGGCTGGAATCACATGTTTTGGGATGAGCTCCACACAATCACATGACTTTAAACATTCCTTAGAGTTCCAGATGATGCTCCTAATGTCAGATTTATTGTTGTAAGCATATCAGGAGTTTCAATAACATTTTGTAATAATGACAGTGATGTTGTGACAAATATTTATACTCTTTAAAAATCTGCATTTTACAAACTTTTTCCTTAGTTTTTGGTAGAATTGCATTTAATCTGTAGTGTGAGTGGGGTCAAATATTTTGGTTGTCCAGTTCCTCAGTAGTTTGCTGGAATTATCCAACCAGTTCGTAATTCATTTGGAAATGTTAAAACGGACCAAAACACTTCAAATGATCTCACTAGACTAATGCTCATTTTTGCAAAGACTGAGATTTGTCTGAGTGTTATTTAGACTGTAAACTAGTTTTTGATATTGCTTGTGGAGTAGTTGCTTCTTCCCCTTTCGTGGTCTTGCAGTCCATGTCGGTATCAGACTATAATGGCGCTTACCTACCAGGCAGCAGCTTTAGATGATGTACATCGGCTCTGGGGTTGATGCTCATGTTTTGCATCTTCTTGAAGGGCGTTGGCCGACAGGCGTAAGCATTATTGCAACATTATGGATGATGCATACTCCAAAACATACAATCCCACAAAAATACATTCAAATGAAAAATGCAGAAATCATAGAAAATGAAAGCAAAAGAAGAAGAAAAAAAAAGATTGGACATTAATTTGTTGCCTAGAAGAAAGGATGAAAGAAAGAAAAGGTTAATTTTCCTTCACGTCATTTTTTCTTAAACATATCTATTCAAATATTTTACATTATTAAAGCAGTTCCATCTGATTTAGTCGTTGACTTCCTCTTGTTGCCTGATGCACGTCTATTTTTCTGTGTAGAGTTTACTGCTTATTTATTAATTAAAATTTTCTATCTGTGTTGTTTCTATTGGTATTTGGACTATTTCCTCTTTTTTCTTTTTATTTTCTCACTGGAAGTGGTCTGTTTTGCAATGTTTTCTCTGTTCCATTTGTTATTTGTGTTTGTGTGCAATGAAAGTTGCAACATTTAAGTGTTTGCAGCACTTTTCCTCCCATTCGTGGCACATGTTCCCTTGTCTGCCACTGTGTGGAAGTGATCTGATAGATATTCCTGTGGAGTTTATACCTCACAGGTCTATAATCGTTGTCCACAACTCTTTCTGTCTTTTGCTTATTTCTTGTATTCAGTTTTTTCTCATTAAGTATGTTAAAGGATTGGTTTAAAGCATATACACAGATGTTTCTCAATTTAACCTTATTTTATAAAGTTCTCAGTCATAACGTGACCTGGGGTTTCTTAAGTTATTGTTGCTCTAAGCTGCTGGTTTTTCAGACCTTCTGTGTGATAATGTTCCAGGAACAGTAAAAACAATGTGTTTGTGTTGTATTTGTATTTAGGCTGCAATGTCCACTAGAGTTTTAGCTTCCAGCTTCTCTCCATTAATATGAGAAGATATAAGAACATCACTCAGTACTATTTTCAAACCATTCTGCTATGACAGCTTATGTATTATTCACATATTGCGTATAGCCTTGTCGTTGTTTATTAAAAGTCTTTCTCTTTTGTTTGCAACATTAATAATGCTGTATGTGTTCAACACAGCGAGCAGATATTCACTTACTTATAGCTTCTTACATCTGTCGTTCTACGTCAATGTTGAGTTTTAAACGCCTCGCTGCTTCTGAAAATAGCTGTCAGAGCTGCAGCATGTGTTAGTTTGGATGTAAGTAGCTGCATGTCTTTGATCTATTAGACATACAGTGCAAATGTCTCATGGTCATGCCTGGACTTTAACCCCTTAGTGACCTCTTTAACCCTCTACTGACCTCTGAAGGAGGACCTGCTATGTATAAACTCTTAAAGGATTATTACTGTTATTGTCAAGCCGACAAAGACAAAAGTTATTTTTTTTTAGCTATATTGTTGCTGTTACCTCCACCAAGTAGGTAATTTTTTTTAGGACAATATTGCCGTTTCTCAATATGTTTACTTGTGCGTTCTCATGTGCCCGTGTACTTGTGAAACGTCATCAACTGACAAGGCTTCTGCATAGTTTCATCACTGAAAGTTAAAAGTTCTCTTTTTTGTTGCTGGTGTTCAATAAAAGTATGTTTTAAGATCATTAGAGGCGAAAATATCATACTTTAAAGTAGGGCTGCAACAACGAATCGATAAAATCGATAAAAATCGACTTTTAAAAGCGTTGGCAACGAATTTCATCATCGATTAGTTGTGTCGCGCGATTATTGCGTCATCCGCCGCGCCGTCATCACTGCCTCTTGACTGAAAGAGGAAGAAAAAAAAATATGGCAGAGCGAGTCAGCGCCGCAGGTGCAGTGTTGCCTACTCAGCGACTTTTCAGAGCCCTCCAGCGACTATTTTTCAAAAAAGCGACTAGCGACAAATCTGGCGACTTTTTTCGGTGTCACTGGCGGCTTTTGGAGACTCTTAGTGAAAGCATGTATCGTTCCTACTCTGCTGTGGGGCGCCTCCCCCACACCAACCGCGTTTTCCCGCAGGAGTCCCTCTCAGCGCTACAGTCAGAGCAGCAGGATTTTTACCCTCAGCGTCCAGACTGCAAATGAAGCGCGCATGCACCGGGATTGACGGCGCAAATTGATCACAATAATTAAAATAGCCTGCGCTTTGTAAAGCGAAAAAAGTGATAACATGCAACTTTTTTCAAAAGAAATTAACATGGCACGGAACCACCATGTTTGTTTGGTTTTAAAGTGGGGAAACGTAACGTTAGTTTCTCAGGTAGCTCATCTGATGCTTTCCTTACCGTGTTAGTAGGTTACAGACAGTGATAAGGTTGGCTACTTATTTTACTTTTAATTTCATTTGAATTAGCTTAAGCAGCGTTTACATTTACTTTATAAATAAATTAACTTGCAAATTATGAGGGCAAGGCTTTTAAAGTTTAAATCTTCTGGCAAAGATAAAGTAAAGAAGATCCTGCAATTTATGGAAGTAAAGCAGAATAAAATCCAGCAAGATCAGTAATATGTCAATTAATTATATGCCACATTCCCATGTAAATGGGCTCTATGCACAGCTCCACTACTTCCTGAATTTAAGGCAGCTCCTTTGTTTCCTGTCTTTCATTACTGGACGAACTGATTAATCCAGGTGTGTCTGGCCAGTTACTTAGGTCATACACACCTGGATTAATCAGTGCATCCAATCATGAAAGACAGGAAACAAAGGAGCTGCCTTAAATTCAGGAAGTAGTGGAGATGTACATACAGCCTATTGGAGTCTTTGGAGGATGTGTTTTTTAGCACCCCTAGTTCTCTCATTTTTATTCCAAATACAATTTATAATTTGAATCACAGGGCTATTTTTATCTCTATGGTTCAGTATTTTCTCAATCAGCAACTTTAACTGCTATACTTTCCTGTCTTAAAAGGCAGAACTCTTCTAGTCTAAAAAAACTCATTTGTTGAAATGGGGGGGCCTATTGTTTGAACCCCTTAGGGGCTTTTAAAAACAAAAATGTCTTTTTTGCGCTTTATGAAACAAAGTATCCTATATTTTGTGGATGTACAGCTACATTTCTCATGTAAGTTTGCGTAGTTTTAACACAAACATTTATTTTTCATATTGCACCAGTACAGTTAACGAGCAACCTGTACTTGTGTGATTGTTTGTTCTGTCTAAAATGTTTATTTTGGAATAAAGAGGTTAATATAAAAAATATTTTTTGTCCGATTCATCGATTAATCGAAAAAATAATCGTCCGATTCATCGATTTTTAAAATAATCGTTAGTTGCAGCCCTACTTTAAAGCATTACTATGGTCCACTCACTGATTTAATGCATAAATAAATAAAAAAATTCTGAGGTTGAGGGGACCTTCGGCAACCAGCTGACCTCCGAGGCTAATGGCAGTCAGGGCTAACCGCAGCCCGTCTGCAGCAGCCCTCTCTTGGCATAGCGGTGTGTGAAGGACCGCTGGCTCTGATGGCAATTTTATTATTATTATTATTATTATTATTTTTTATTTTTTTTGGAAAAATGTTCATTTGATTTGTGTTTATCTGACTGTGTTAATTATTAATCTCCCACTAAGTCAAAAAATTTGTTATTATCTAGAGATTATTAATAACAGGAGGTAGGACTGGGCGATATAGAAAAAAAGCTTATCGATTAAAAAAAATGCATATTGATCGATATCGATAATTATTGAAAAGATTTGAAACCATATTTTATGTGCAGCTCTGCCTTGACTTTTTAATGATATTGCTAAATGATTTAATTTTAGTAAAGAACACAAACACAGACTTACAATTAAATATTTATTTAACCAACTTTTTTAACCATAACAATTGTTTTAAAGAAAAATAACTTAAGAGA